ATAAAATAAAGAACATTCACATTTTCTAGATTATAACGATTCAAATTTAAAGGGGAAAAGTAGAAAATTTACCAGACAAACTCAAAATTACGAGAGAAAAAAATACAAATTTAATCTATCATTCATTTTAACTTTAGAAACTACCATGAGGAGGCCATTGTACCATCTGTTTCCATCACTAAAGCTTCCTGATTAATGCTTTATGTAGCGTACGTTAACATGTATTATAATTTTCCAATATACTGCAAATGTAGATGTTCAAATCTTGCAAATTTGATACTTTTTTTCCTCCTAAATGTGCTTCTTTTTTCTTATTTGTTTGCTACTTTTATACTATACTATATTTGAATGTTTTATATTAATTCTCGTAAAATTCCACTTTAAACTAAATAATTTAAATTCCTTTATATATCTTTTTTTCTAACGCCGGCGTAATCAGTTCCATTCAAACTGTTGTTCATCGCACCAAAGTCGTCGTCTCTGATGAAAATGAAGATTTTCATTTAATTTAGAAATCAATGTGTCTGGAAGCTTGTTTTGGATCAGAAGTTTCCAGAACCTGCGACGGTTCTTGGCGCCGTGTTTTCTGCTGCTGTTGCTCCGCTGGTTTCGGAGCAATGCAGATGACCTGCAGGTTGTTTTCAAAGGAAACTGGGCTTCCTGGAAACATCAGCAGATCCGCATGCTAATCTCCTCCATGCTACGCTGCAGAGATGCAGTAACTATCGCAAAATAGCCTCAGCAAAGCAATCAGAAACCTGATATTACTGTTTAAAATGTTTTAAAACTCTGAATATTTGAGCAATATTTATCAGAAATCCAGGAAAAAGGTTTTAGATATTTCATTCTGTTTAATGGATCATTTAACAAGCAGAAGAAGGATCAGACTTTTTAAATGGTTCTAATATCTGAGATCTACAGAAACATTATTTTATCCAGTTTGTTTTCAGAAAATAAAAATTGATAGAATTAAAAACTGTTGTTTATATTTTTATTCCTGATCTGTATTTTCTGCTGGTTTCAGTCAAAGTAGAGACTGTTTCAGCCATCAGTGCTGTCGGCGCCTCCAGTCGCATCATCCAGAGCTCCCAGTCGGCCACGCCCCTGCAGACGGTAACCATCGTGCAGCAGGCCCCCGTGGGTCAGCACCAGCTGCCCATTAAGGCCATCACACAGAACGGCCACAGCATCACCACCGCCCTCCAGGCTCCTTCCAGCCAAGGTGAGGCCCTCAGGAGCCAGGGTCCGCTCTCCTCCGGCTGCAGTCTGCTGTTAACTCTTCTCTCTTCTCCCTGCCGCAGCGAGCCCCCTCCACCTGCTGGCGACCCACGCCTCTGCCTCCGCCTCCCTCCCCACCAAGCGGCTGAACGGAGACCAGACGGCGAGCGAGCAGCCGGACGCCAAGCGCGTGAAAACCGAGGAGGAGTCGGCACCGACTGCCGCGGCAGAGACGGACTCGCCGGCAGCCAACGACCAACCAAATTAGTCCGTTCGACCTCTCAACACAGAACCCCACCACGCCCCCCCCTCACCCACCGCCTCTCTTTATCTCGTCCCCGTCGTTTTCGTTTCTCCTCCTCCTGCAGCTCAGAACCACGGTGCCAAACGGAGAAGACCTTTTTCCCTTTCAGTTCGGTTTTCCTTTAAAAGAACAACAAATGGCCACCATTGAAAAACAGGAATGTGAGGAACAAAGGAACCTGAAGGTTTTCTGTGTGCGCTGTGACTGAAGCCAGAAACAGGAAACCTTTAGCAACAGCAAACCCTTAAACGAGCCGGGCTTCGACCGAGCGGAGGAGGCCCGGAGTCGTTCAGGCTGGACGCCGCCTTTCTGTCGCATCTACCTCAGAGCAGATCGGAGCAGCCAGCAGGAAACGCCGCCCCCTACCCCCGCCCCAACCCGTCACAACCGATCGGGACGCGTGACCAACCGAGCGACGAGTACGACGAGCATTCAGCAATTAATATATCAGTTTTTCTATTCCTAATTAATAAATAAAGTCAAAGGGATCAACTTGGAGCCAATCTGTAATTCAGGCAGCTAGCCTCTCACATTACTGACCCTCCTTAACCGCAGCTGTACGTAGAAATGCAGTATTCTGTTGTTCAAGATGTGGAGCATAGCAGTTTTTTTTAATGTATTTACACTTAACTAGAAAAATTATAAATTAAAGGAAGCTTTCAAAGCGCTGACATTTCAGAAACTAAGTTAGAGAACTTTTTACGTGAACTTTTCATTTGTTTGGTGAAAAGGGTGTAACAGTTTTTGGTAAACTTTTTTCTGTCCCCCCTCCCCTCCCTGTTGTTTTGATATTCCTTCATATTTCAATACTTGCACAGATCTCCATGTGTAGTTCCGGGTTTTCACCCCTGCATGTATCCGACCACAGAGAAGTCATTAACAAAAAAAAGAGACCAGAGCTGCACTTGATTAAATGTCTTTCATTTCCCCCTGCTCCTCTTCTTCTTTTGTTTCTGTCAAATCCCCCCCCCTCCACGGTCCCTCCAGGCTGCGTTGATGTTGTGGTGTTGGCAGACCCCTCCTACTCACACATCCATTTGCTTGATGACGTATTTTGCGACCTGGCCAATCTGTTTTTCTGATTCTACACGTTCCAAACAATAGTAAGAAAAGAAATTGATGTTTGTTCTGCTTCAGTGGAGAAATGCTTTTTTAAAATAAATTAATTTAAAGTCTGTATCCTTTTTTGTTTGTTTTTTTGGTGAACTTGATACTTTAAATGAGGGTTAGGGTTAAAATTGTTAACTTTGAGTGCAGTTCCACAATAATCCAGAGGAGGGCAGTATATACTTTATTTGTTTATTATTTAGAGTGACTTATCTAGGAGGACTTTTTTTGTGTGAACAGCATCCAAATCATTGATAAATCCAAAATGCACAGAGTGAATTTCGTTGCTCTGTACTTCTGAAGATGTAATATCAATAAAAAGCTGGGGGGGAAGTAAGCTTTTGATTAGCAAAGCTTTCAAATATTTGTGCATGTTCTAAGACTCACAGCATATTGCTTTTTTTCTAAATTCATTTTAAGGATAAAAAAATAAGTAAGAGCATAGCACAATCTCAAAAAGAGCAAAAGCAAAATAATACTGGAGTAAATGTTTTAAAAGCCGCTTTTGTGCTCCTATGTTTACAAAATGATATGAAAGAAGCAGGATTTTAAGTTGCTTTGAATGATGTTTGTAAATGTAAATGATATCTTAATTTTCCTGTAGGATAACAGTATCTTTTAGAAGGCTATAATGGTTAAAAAAAAAAAAGTAAAAAAAAAAAAGTCTTTCACGCCCTAAAATGTGTCAAACGTGTGTTTCCTATGTAATTACAGCAGGGGGCGACAGTCAGCGATTCAGTTATCAATTAACAGAAGAAGAACCAAAGGCTGCAAACCCGCCATGTGAATTGATTAGGTTTAGATTAGATTTGTTATTAAATACAGTTTTTTTTTGCCATATATTGGAATTATTATTGAAAAGATTAATTTAGTTTTAGCTAAGAAGGGATGTGTGTTTTTACATGCGCATTGACTACGTTAGACACCTAGCCGAAGCTTAAATGTTAAGCTAACATCAGTAGATTTTGGTTTTGGTAAAAAGGGAATCAGAGAATGGAGGAAATGATGGTGGAATCGGACCCAAAGGAAAGTTCTGGACCCGGCTCAAACCAGCTGGTCGCCGGTGCGTGGGAATCGGTCACAGCTGCTTTGGTGAGTGAAGCCGAACCCCGGATTGGGGCGTTTAAGAACGGAGCGAATAGTTCTCTCAGAGCTCCATTTAAATAAATACAAGTTTAAGGTTTCTACCCCTAAAAGAGGCAGATTATTAGCAATAAGACACAAAGACTGCTTTCTGTCTCATCCACTGGAACTTGGCGCTTAATTCGGCGTATATGTTTCATTTTTATCATGTTTGCTGTTTTATTTAATTAGAGATATTAGAGGCTGCCTGTCTAAAGTAAAAGTTTACACTTCAAAGAACCCCATGCAAAATACTGAAGATGGTTTTGTTTAAATGATTTAGTCCAAAAAGTGGGATTTAAACTCAAAATCAGAAAGCTTGTTTACCATATTATCAGAGAGGATTGAGGCTGCAGTTTTCCAGCAGTCAGTCTGACATCCTTTACAAGAAATTATTAAATTTGAACAGAAAGTTTAGTGGACAGAAAAAAATATTCCAGGCCGGACAGATAACCTGCTGCTAGGATTTGGACTAGAAATTTAATATTCCCTGTTTTTAACAAACTACTGTAGGAAAGATGATATCAGAAGCATCTTATCTGGGCTCTTTTCAGGTTAAGGAAAAGTCTGCATTTTATCTGAAAATCAAGGCCCCACATTCTGGATGGAAAGTTGAGACTCCATCAGGGGTGTAAATCACATCCATCATGGCGATTCGATTCAGTATCGATTTCCTGACCCAACGATTTGATTATTTTTGATACTCAAGAATACGCCACGATACGATTCGATTATTTGGTCCATTTTTTTTTTTACCTTACAGTCTAGACAATGTTTCAGATTTGAAATAAATCAATAAAAGCTGTAATATCGTGAGTAGGTAAATGAGATAATTTGCCAATGGAATGAGTATTTTTACTTTTAAATTTAGATATTTAGATAAAAGGCACTTGAAATAAGACAATGCAATTGTGTTTTCTTATTTTAAGTGTAAATTGTCCTGCCGCTCATCTCAATTCCTCCATAATAAACATTTAAATTGTTCCGGTGTTCATTATTTCCTGGATGCCTTAATAAACTAAAAATACTTTATATGTTTGAAGTTCTAAAGAGCGAGCAGAAGAAAAGGACCCAAATATAGATTTTTCTGTCTTTGGGACGGCCTGCAGGTTTCTGAAGGCGGCTCGCTGTCGGAGCAGGACCCCTCGGACGCCGTGGCTCTTCTCTGCCATCATGGTTTGGGTCGGCTGCTCGGCGTCTGGCTGCTGGAGACGCTGCAGCTGCGTCTGTCCTCCTCAGTGGTTCCAGAATTCTGGTGCGGACTGAAACAGCCAGAGAACGAACTGGAAGAACGAGACAGGGCCGGCGTTCTACTAACGGCGTTCAGAACTCTGCTGGACCGCCTGGAGCCTTTCCTGAGCAAGTAGAACAAACATTTTTGTCCAAATAAGCTGATCGGGTCCTTATTTCCCTTTATTCTTTATCCAGGAAGCCAGACTTCCTGAACTTTATCCAGATCTGTCCGTACTTTGCTCTAAACATCCAATCTCCTCTCTAACAGGTGGATTGGAGAAACTGGGGCAGTGGCAGGAAGAGGGCCGCCATGGTCTGTCTGGTCCGGGCCCCAGGGCCCTCCAGGAGCGGGCTTACACCACCATCAGGGCCCTCCTGCTCTTCTCCCCACCTGCTGTTCTGCAGGAGCGGGTGCTGGAATTTTACAGCCGGACCTTCTCTGTCTATATGAACCGGGAGGGGGGAGAGGATGGATCCGAGGCGCCGGATGGCCCCGACGGAGGGGCCTGCCCAGGCTGCGGGGTCCTGACTCAGCACTGCTGGTGCCAGGAGGCTCTGGAGCAGCTGCAGGACCTCAGCCTCATTCTGTGAGCAGATCGGACCCATTCCTGAATCCAGTGCTGCAGTTTGTTCCTGCTGGTGTTTGACCCGCCGTTTCCTTTCTGTGGGGCTCCAGATCCCGGCTGCAGCTGCTGGAGTGGGTCAGCTCCGACGCCGTCACCTCCATCCTGCACAGGCTCATCGAGCAGCGCATGGAGCAGCACTGCAGGGGCGAGTACGAACGCTCCTTCCTGCTGGAGTTCCAGGAGGTGAGAGAGTTTTACGCCGAGAACCGCCGCCTCCTTCCCCAGCCTCTGGTTCTGAATCCGTTTGTTTCTGTGGTTGGATCAGTGGCTGGAGCTGGTTCTGGGATGGCTGGGGAAGGTTTTTGACAGCAACGGGGACAGAGACGCCGAGGTCCCGCCAGCTCCCAGTTCTCCCAGCGTCCGAAGCAGCCAGCCCGCCAGTTCAGTTCTGAAGCAGTGGAGGTGCCACATGCACCAGTTCTTCTGCAGGATCTACGTCAACATGAGGATTGAGGAGCTTTTCAGTATCATCAGAGGTAAGTGTCCAACTAATGAAACGCCACCAGGGAGGATGCTTCAGGATAGCGTTTCTCCTTCCACAGTCAGAACAATCCTGCCAGCCGGGTTTTTATTCTGCTCTAGTTTCAGTGGATCTGCTGCCTTTAAATCAGTTTTCATAGCGTCTTTATTAACAGATCTGGTTCAGATCTTATTTTGCAGAACCAGATTATTACTCTGCGTCATTTAAAGTTCTAGATGTAAACTAAGAACGTGGCGTACCTCAAGGCTCCCTTCTTGTGCCACTTTAATCCAACATCTACATGAGGCGCTAGTTCAGATTAGGGAGCATGGCAGCAATCTGTCACTGACTCTATGCTGATGACGTCTTCAATATTTGGAAAAAATCTAAATCTAGATAAGTCATTTGTTCTTAAAATAAGTGCATTTGTTCTTGGATTGAGGAGGTAAGAGAGACATTTTGCCAATGGAAGAAGAATATTTACACTTAAAATAAGGAAACACATTTGCATTGTCTTATTTCAAGTGCATATTATCTAATTATCTTATTTTAAGAGTAAAAATACCAATTCTATTGGCAAACTATCTCATTTACCTGCTCAAATTAAGGGTAAATACACTTAATTTAAGACATTTTCACTTATTTCTAGATTGTGTTTGCAGTGACTTTGTAACAAGATCTCTTCATCCCATCACAGCCGCAGGTCCCAGTAGAGATGTCCTCGTTTAAGTTTTTCATTTCAGATTTGATACCAATAAGGAAGCTTTGAGTATTGACTGATATAAATGCTAACCTGATACAATATCAGCATCATTCATATTTGTATTAATTATTTTGTAGTTTGGCATATTAGAAAATAATAATAATAATAATAATTGACAGCAGTAGAAATGACCCATTTATTATTAACCAACAGGTTACAAAAAACTTTCTGTCAGCTTTTTAATATTAGAGATTTTAGATGCAGGCTGATATATTCTGATTTTACTTTATTAAGACAGATTTCTTATAACAATATCTCATCAGAACATCTCTAGTCTTCAAAGTACCAGGAGTTAAAGAGGGTAAATATTAGGGCTGAAATAATTAATGGGACTATTTGTGATTAATCGATTATTGAAATAATCTTAAAGTAATTTAGTAATCGATTAATCGTTAACTGGAGTATAGAGACTGTAAAAATGTGTTTTTAGCTGACAGAGCGACCCACTTAGACCAGCAATAAAACAAAATTGTTAAAAAATATATATAGAACATTTGTAAGTTTACCTTTTCTGACGATTTAGATTTTCTTTTTTCAATATGCCAGAAATCCTCAAGTTGAAAAAAGTTTTAGTTTCCCCTGGTTTCATCTTTCTGGTACAGACAGATTAATCGGTTTGCAAAATAATCGTTACTTGCAGGCCTAGAAAATATACAGGGTAAAGTAAGGCAGACAGAAGTAAATAAAAAATAAAAAAAACAAGAGTAGAAATGAACGTTCAAATGCATCAACAGAGCATGCAAGAAACCCAAACACTGATTGACTCAGCCTAATTTGCTAAAACATCGTTAGAATAAAGAATTAGGTTTATACCTGCACAAAATAAGCTGCTACAGGCCTTTATTTTCAGTTTGTTGGATTATTGCAGTTCTGAACAGTAGCTCTACTGCAGCCAGATCTAAACCAAGAAATAAAGTTTTGCAATAATTTAGAACTATTTGAAATTTGGTTTAATGGTTTGAGTTACTCTGCATCTGAATGCAGACACCATTACGCCATCTTCATCTTGCAGCTTCGGTCACCTGATGTTGGAGTGAAAGATGTACAGGTGGGGCGTGACCTCATGCATGTTTTTCTGAACATATCTGTCCTTTAAAAAAATTCTCCCAGATTTCCCAGAATCCAAACCTGCAATTGAAGATCTGAAGTTTTGTCTGGAACGAACCAACCAGCGGCAGCAGCTCCTCACTTCACTCAAATCAGCCTTTGAAAGCCGACTCCTACACCCAGGTCAGTGTCGACACGAAGCCCGGCCCAGTTCACCTCAGCAGGGATTTTACGCACCAGCTGGAAGCAGAAACTAAACTTTTACAAATCCAGTTTAACTTTAAACCAAATGCAAAACTGTGTCTGAAAGCCCAGTCTGAGGTTAAACCTGGGGAGACACAGCAGAACTGGAGTGTTTTAAAACTTCATGTAGCGCTGCACAGCTTTTTATTCACACTTTGTTGTTCCTCTTCAGGTGTTCACACGTCGGATATCATCACAGTTTACATCTCGGCCATCAAAGCTCTGAGGGAGCTGGATCCATCCATGGTGATCCTGCAGGTGGCCTGCCAGCCCATCCGGAAGTACCTGCGGTGAGTCTGGTCCACCTCCCACAGACCTCCCACAGACCTCCCACAGACCTCGCCCAGACCTCCCACAGACCTCCCACAGACCTCCCACAGACCTCCCACAGACCTCCCACAGACCTCCCACAGACCTCCCCCAGCATGGATCCGTGGGCAGGAGTTTTCCTGGCTAGATCAGACCTTCAGTGGGTTTTAAGATGTTGGCAATTTCCCAAATTTACTTAAATAATACAACATAAATTAGGCAAGTAAAGACATTTCTGCAGAAATTGGT